ATTATTATTGGCTCATTATTAGGTGATGGTAATGCTAATTCAAGAACAATAGAAGGTACAAGACTTTGTTTTAGGCAAAGTGTAATACATAAAGATTACTTGTTTTGGTTGTATAAATTCTTTAATGATAAAGGCTATTGTTCTAATCTGGCACCTAGAATGTCTGAGCGTAAACTTCTTAATAAATATTTACAGGAAACTAAGATTTATTATGGTTATGAGTTTAATACTTTTACTTTTAGAAGTTTTAATTGAATTCATAAATTATTTTATAAAAAAGGTAAAAAATATATTAATCCGGATTTAATAAAATATATTACCCCTTTAGCTCTAGCTATATGAATTATGGATGAGGGTGGTTGAGCAAAGGCTGGGGTTAGATTATCTACAAATGCTTTTAAGTTGGAAGAAGTTAAATATTTAGCTGGAATATTAACAAGTAAATGGGGGCTGAAATGTACTGTTCAAAAATTAAGTAAGTCAAATCAATATTCTATTTATATCTTAGGTGAATCTTTACCTAAATTAAAAAAGTTGGTATTACCTCACATCATTCCAAGTATGAAATATAAATTAGGGGCTGTCTTCTGTTCAAACAAGCAAGACAATTAATTGTGTTCTAATACGCTCATACGCTTACTTCGTAAGACTTCGTAATACTTCGTAAGACAAGGGGTATATAATATAAGCAATAAAGTATAAGTTCTTTCAACTGCCCCTCTTTTTGCTGGTTTTGGCTTATTTTATTTTTAGCCATTATATGCAGAAGAGGCGTAATATAAATATGTGATAGTCGTGATATAAATAAGTGTAGTATAAATAAAGTGGTAATTAGTACCACTAAACTCAAATGAGCTTGAGCTTAATGCATTTACTTTCTATTAATAAAAAAATTTTTTTTTCTTACAGATCGTGAATTGAATTTATTTATATCTAAGATCCCTACAGGGATCTTTAAGGATAAAGTTCTTTTTTCCTTTGGCGACACGAGTGAAAACGGTTAATATCTTATATATTTTGTCGTATATATTACAAGACCGTCAGTAAACAGTTTATTTTTTTTGTTTATTGCTACAGGCTGGGTCGCTTGTGGGTGTCAAGCTTTTTTTTTTAAGTTTGATGCTTTATGTACAGTCGAAAATTCAGAGTTAAACGCCTTAATTGCACGTATGGTATTGGAGCTATTTATCTTGCGATTTTTTAAAAACTCTTGGGGAATTATTCGTATTTGATGCATATTTAGTACCCGAGTCTGTTTTAGAAGATGGAGCTTTAAGAATGCTTGAAGTAGATAATAGAGTTATCCTTCCTGAATCAACAGACTTAAGATTTATTATAAAGGCTGCAGATGTTATTAATTCTTCTTCGGCTTGTACTTCTTCTTTAGGTGATGAATTAGGTAAGTTACCTCATGATTATTCTAACCACTTTGATTCTCTTAAATATAAAATTACTGAACAACCTCAACTTAGGTGTACTACCCAAACAAGGTTTTCAGTATACAGTCAGCAAATACCTGTGAGAATGCAATGGACGAGTCCTGAACAAGTGGTGTTACATCAAAAGTTAATAAGTTTACCTGAAACAAAATATACTTTGATGCAAAATCGTCACCATTCATTTAGAATGTATCATGAAAGTAGTCTTAGTATGGGTCCTATACAAGCAATACCTAGGTTGATATCAGACTTAAATGCAGCTTAATAATCTAAAGTTTTTAATAGCACCAATGATATTGAAGTTATCAATATCCGGACTTTTTAAATACTGACGATGATTTCATCGAGTTTGATTCATATTTAGTACCCGAGTCTGATTTAGAAGATGGAGCTTTAAGAATGCTTGAAGTAGATAATAGAGTTATCCTTCCTGAATTAACACACGTAAGATTTATTGTAACGGCTGCAGATGTTATTCATTCTTTCGCTTGTCCATCTTTAGGTATTAAATGTGATGCTTACCCAGGTAGATTAAACCAAGTTTCCGTTCTTATAAATAGAGAAGGAACTTTCTACGGTTGAAATAGTTTACTGAAACATGTCGATAGTCAAAAATTTTGTACCTTTTATTATCCAAAAAAAACCCTAAAAATACCGGATACAATAACAACAAACATTTGTTCTTATAGTTATTGTTTATCTTACAGCGGTATTATGTCTAATTTAACTACAGGTACTCCTAACTGGAGTTTACCTCTCTTACTTTCTGGTTTAACCAGCCATAAGAAATACGTTAGAAAATATTCAACTAATAACATAGACTCTGCAGAACTAAAGATTAAACGAAAACTCTTAAAAAGTAGAGCCGAGCCCTTGTACATGTATCGCTTTACGGAAAAACTTGCCTTAGAACATATTAATAGCGATAATTTAACAACACATTTAGTTATAAATAAATTACTTTATAATCAGAAAGTTTCTATAAGTGCGAACAAATTAAAGGAATTGTTAAAAATTAAAGGTATAGAGTTCGCTTTACCTATAAGCAAAAGCAATTTAAATAAGTTTTATTGTTTGGTAGGTAAATCCAAGCATACAGGTTATGCGGGTGTATACGTCTTTACACACAAATCCAGTAAATCTATGTATATTGGTTCATCTAATTTGCTAAGACGTCGTATGGAATATTACTTTAAAGGAAATTATAAGATAAGGGGGAAATTTCTTCCCCTTTTATCTAATGAAGGCCTTAGTTCCTTTAATATAAAAGTGTTTAAACTAGATAATAATATCTTTAAACCGCAAGATGCTTTATTTTTAGAACAGTATATGCTTTTAAATAAACATTATGATTTAAATACATTAAGAGTTGTAAATTTCGGACCTTCTGAAGGTAAGGCTATATATGTATACAATTTAGATTGTACAATACTTTACTATCATGCTCAATCACAAATTGGCTTAAAAAGAGTTTTAGGTATACATCAATCTTCTTGTAAGAAATATTTAGACAGTAATATTCCTTATCTTAACCAATTTATTTTATTAAGTTTTCCTGTATCTAATATAATAGCAAGTAGTATAGAAGTTAAGCAATTAAAAATGATAATGGATAAAGAACGACGTATTAGCTATGAATTAGGTAACCGTCGAAGTCTAGCTGTTACACTTGAAATTAGGCAAGGTAATACATATGTAGATCCAGCTTATTTTCCAGCTTCGAACAATAAACTTGCATTCGATTCTTTAACATCTTGCACTGGATATTTACAATCTATAGGGCTAACTATTAAAAGAGATACCTTATCTAAGTATATTAAACTAGGTAAAGTCTTTCATAATTTTTATTGTAAATATTTAGATTCATCATACCATGTTAACAGTGTCAGATCTGGCAAAGAACAAGAAAATTTGGGTTTATTAATTGAAGAGTACAAAAAAAATAGAATATCCCGAGAAGCTATGGAAGAAGTAAATAAAAAAAATAAACCTTTTAGAGTTAAATCTATATTAGATAGCAGGGAACAATCTTTTTTAAGTATAACGGACACAATTCTATATTTTGAAACACAAGGAGTCAAATTGGATCGAAAAATGCTTTATATTTGTCTTAAAAAGGGTGGAACTTATAAGGGATTTACCTTTCATTATCTTCAAAAGTAAGATGTTTAAATAATGATGTACCGCAGAGAATAAGTAATTAGCTTATTTAGTTAAATAACATGGGCAATGGCTAATGAATTAGGTAGTGCTTCGCAAGACAATTATATCTTCTTGTTTTGGTATAAGGCTAATATAAGTAGCTCTTAATATAACTTTGGCCGTAATCAGAGTGAACCTCTGGTTATAAATCATCAAATTGACGGGAACACCCTAAAACTATCTTAACCAACCAAGTATAGTAATATAATTTGGGGCGCAGGTAATGACTCGCGGTATGGTAAAATCAAGATTAGATATTACAATGGGCAATCCGCAGCCAAGCTCCATCATTCTTTAGCTTTTATAATAAAATAAATGTTTTATTGCTATGCATGTCGGCTTAAAATATTATTTTTATAGCAGGATGAGGGTGTGCAGTTCATCGACTAAATGTTGGTTGGCTGGGCTATTGTTTCTAGTAACATAGTCCTGGCTTAAGATATAGTCAGACCCCACTCGAAAGAGTGCAAGACAACCTATAACAATATTAAATATTTTTATCTTGTCTGTTAAATGGATATAAATTAAATGCATTTAATTTATATTTAGGGATAAAATCCATACTTTGGTCTTGATAAGACCCTAGCTTAGTATAGTAATTTGCAATGTTCAGAAATATGTGGGATTTTACACAGTTCTATGCCTATAGTTATAGAGTCTGTGTCTATAGAAAAATTTCTTAGTTGACTTGAAGAACAATAATATAGATTTATTATATTTAGAGTTATTTAAAGCTAGATGTCCAGAATCACCTTCGGATTATTTTTCTTCGGGCGCGGATACTGGATATACTGGTAACTTAGGCCAATCTCAAGGTTCTAATAATCCAGGTATAACAGATCCTTCTTCAAATTCAGGTCGATCAGGAAATTCTGGTTCAAATAATAACGAGAATATTGATACTGTACATGATTTTGAAACTAGTAGAAGAGCGGTCGGACAAAAGCTAAGGAGTTTATTTGTTAATAGGCCTCCTAGATCTAGCATTATGATGACTCATCCTAACTATTCTGATAGAATAAACGCATGAGATCACAATGTTGTTTGTAGAAGTATTTTCGACTCTAGTAGTCCTTTACAGAAAAATATAGTTCTAGTAGGAGAAAGCTGTCGATATAACGGTATTCTAACATTAGAATTGTTAGGTATTCTGGAACGTTAGTTTTTAACTTAAAATATATAGATAATATAAATACTATAATATTATTTATATATAACGTCTTATAAATAGGATGGTAAAGTAAAGGTTAAAGCAAAAACTAATACTTTAGCTTAATTTTATACGCGAATATTCACAATAAAAAGTGTACATGACTTTGAGCTTAGGCTCAAATTCTTACAAATTTAAATTATTTGTAAAAAGAATAAGCTTAATGGTAAAGCAATATTATTTTTATAATGTTATAAAAAGTTCGATTCTTTTATTCTTTAATGCTTGTATAGTGTTATTTAAGGTAAACACAGTTAAAACTATATAAGTACGTTTAAAGGTTTAATAATCTAAACCCTTTTTTATCTAAGTTATATTTAATTATAGGGTTTTGGCTTTGTTAAAGGCTTTTTAATATAATTAAAAAAAAAGATATACAATGAATTTATCCTTAATACTTTTTTTAATCGGAATTTTAGGTTTCGTTTTAAATAGAAAAAATATAATATTAATGCTTATTTCAATAGAAATAATGTTATTAGCTATTACGTTCTTAATCTTGGTAAGTTCACTTAGCTTTGATGATATATTAGGCCAAACATACGCTATTTATATAATAGCTATAGCTGGTGCAGAATCCGCCATTGGTTTAGGTATTTTAGTTGCATTTTATAGATTAAGAGGTAGCATTGCAATAGAATATAAATAATGTATTTAGCTATAATTACTTTACCTTTATTAGGATCAATAGTTTCCGGGTTTTTTGGTAGAAAAGTCGGTGTTAGCGGAGCCCAATTAATTACATGTACGAGTGTAATTGTAACAACTTTATTAGCAATTGTTGCCTTTTTTGAAGTAGGTTTAAATAACATACCTGTTTCAATAAACCTTTTTAGATGAATAGATAGTGAATCACTTAACGTACTATGAGGTTTCCATTTCGATAGTTTAACCGTATCTATGTTAATACCTGTCTTAATTGTTAGTTCTTTAGTACATATTTATTCTATAGGGTATATGAGCCATGACCCACACAATCAAAGGTTCTTTAGTTATCTAAGTTTATTCACTTTTATGATGATTATACTAGTTACAGCTAATAATTTTTTATTAATGTTTGTGGGATGAGAGGGTGTAGGAATTTGTTCGTACCTTTTAGTAAGTTTCTGATTTACTAGAATAGCTGCAAATCAAAGTTCTATGTCAGCTTTTTTAACTAACAGAGTGGGTGATTGTTTTTTAACTATAGGTATGTTTGCTATATTATGGTCATTTGGTAACATTGATTATAGTACCGTATTCTCATTAGCGCCTTTTGTTAATGAAAACATTGTTACAATTATTGGTATATGTTTATTAATTGGTGCTATGGCTAAAAGTTCTCAAGTTGGATTACATGTTTGATTACCGATGGCCATGGAGGGACCTACGCCTGTTAGTGCTTTAATACACGCAGCTACAATGGTAAACTGTTGCCGTTGATTAACGTGAGTTAATCAATTATGATATCGCTATATGCTGGAACTGCCTTACATCAAGTTTATGTATATTTTAATTTACTTAAATATGATAAATAAAAAAAATCTTGTGCTTTATAGTAAACAAAAAAGAATTTGCTATAAAAAGGGTTAATCAGCAGGAAACTTTATTGTTTAATATGGATATTAACTCTAAAGGATCTTCAGAGACTACACGCGATATATCTTATAATATTTACTAATATTCAAATTTAATACCTCAACATAAAAAAAAAAAATAAATAAAATTTTTTATAATGATTCATAGGTTTTACAGAAGGGGATGGTTCTTTTCGCGTTTCTAAAAATAAAGTATATTTTGATATAACTAAAAGTCTTAGTGACATACAAGTTCTTTATTTTATAAAAAAAGAATTAGGGTTTGGTAAAATACAAATTAGAAGTGAAACGCATAGAAATGTAGGTGTTTTTTATGTTTCATCTAAGGAAAATTTTACGAGGCTAATGACTATTTTTAATGGTAACATATCTAGTATATATAAAAAAGAACAATTTAGAATATGATTGGAAACGTACAATAAACAATACAGTACGAATATTACTTTTAAAGATAGGTTACTTGAACCTAGTTTACAATCAGGTTGAATATCGGGGTTTGCCGATGCTGAAGGTTGTTTTTACGGTAGAGTAAAAAGTTGTTTAACTTCTAAGCTTAAGAGGGCTCCACCTTTAACTTTTCAAATAACTCCGAAGGAATTTTATATAATAAAAATCTTGAGGGATATCTTTCTAAATCTTTCACAGCCTTCTGCCTCTACATGCGAAGATAAATATGTAAAAGGTCATAATGAAATAATTAAGGATTTAACCTTAAAAAATATTAATTATGATAAGAGTTGAAATGGTTGAAGTTTTCATTGCTCTTCTTTTACTAAACTTAAAGTAATTAGAAATTATTTTTCTAGATACAAATTAAAAACAAAAAAATCTCTTGCATTTAAAAAATGATGTAAAATACACGATTTGGTATTAAATAAGAAACATTTAACCCTAGAGGGTCTAAACAAAATAGATCTTTTAAGTAAAGATATTAACAAATTTATAAGATAAAGATATAGTCCGATCCATATTGAAAAATATGGTGTGCTATTACTTACATTTGCCTTGTTATTAAGATATTTATAATAGCAAGACATATAAAACCCCTAACCAAATCATATATATTGGTTTTATTTGTACACAAATAAAGCCGTATGATATCGAGGGAATAGCCAACATAAATGTACAGCTGGTGTGTATTTATTAATGCGTACAAGTCCTTTAATCGAGTATAGCTCGACTGTTTTAATTTTATGTTTATGATTAGGTGCTATAACTACCGTCTTTAGTAGTCTTATAGGTCTATTCCAACAAGATATAAAAAAAGTTATCGCTTATTCCACTATGAGTCAATTGGCTCGAGAATATTTTTTTATTAAAATATTCAGGCATCAAACTATATGCGTAGAAATTATTAACATAATCAATTCGCAGATAACCAAAGCTCTTAATTATTTCTATAATTATATTAATATTAGTTTTTTTAATTCATTTTTCGCTATTTATATATTGCGACAGTACTTATTTAGATTAAACCCTACTTTAGTGTCCGTAAAGTGAAAAGCTATTATTATAAGCAAGTTAGTAGGAATCTCAGAGGCCACACGTTTGATATTAATCTTTTTTAAGTTTATTGTGAATTTAAAACCAAAATCCTTTATCTTAAAAATACTTTTTTTCATTAAATATAGCCTAAATATATTTATTATATTTATATTTAAAGACTTTAATATTTCCTTTTATACCACAAGTCCCGTATTATTAAATAAACTTGATCTTGCTTCTAGCGATAGGTATATGAGTTCAAGCCAAATTAACACTTCTATAAATAATATAAATAATAATAAGCAAAAACACACTGATTTAAATTTTAAACAATGATTAGCCGGTTTATTGGATGGAGATGGTTATTTTATTTTAACGAAAAAAGGGTATGCTAGTTGTGAAATAACTATGGATATCCGAGATAAAAAAGCCTTGTTTGAAGTTAAACAAAAATATGGTGGATCAATAAAAGCTGTTTCAAATGCTAATGCAGTAAGATATAAACTAAGACATAAAAAAGGCTTAATATTACTTCTAAATGATGTAAATGGGCACTTAAGAAATCCTACACGCTTATTGCAGATGTATAAATTATGTGTTAAGTACAATATAGAACTAGTATACCCTGAACCTTTGACATTTAATAATGGATGGTTAAGTGGTTTTATAGATAGTGATGGTTCGGTTTATTTTAATGAAGCGTCAGGACAAGTATTTATAAGTATAACACAAAAAAATAAATATTTACTAGATCCCCTAATTAGCATATATAGTGGAAGAATAGATATACTTAGTCCAAAAATTGAGGCATTTAAATATCTTGTTTACAGAAAGATAGAATTATTTAATTTAATAGACAACTATTTTAATATTTATCCCTTAAAAACAAAAAAGATGAATAGAATTAATTTAATCAAAGAATTTTATATATTAAAAGTGTCTAAAGATAATAAAGATATAAATAAATTAAAGGATTGGATTTATTTTAAAGATAAATGAGAAAAATTTAAAGATTAATAAAGAAATGGTCCAATTTATATTATAGATAAATATTTATATTTATTGTATTAGGTGTTTAATATAAATAGCAAGCTAAAAATATTAAATTTTGCTATACAGTATTATCCTTAATTAATACTCGCATTTTACAGTTTTTTTTTCAGTTACCCACTGCTTATATGCAGAAGTGAAATCCAGTGTACGGGATTTCATAAGCGTAGTTGGAGCGGAATTAGATTTGTGTCCGATTACTACCGTAGATAAAGACGGTAAGGTTTATTTAGGTATTTATGATATTAATGATCTTCAGGCATTTTACTTAGAATTATTGTATAGTAATAATAAAAATGTAAGGTTAATGCGAGTGAAAAATCCTAGCACAGGTCTATATTGATATGGTATATTTAATAAAATACCTGTTGAGTTTAAATCTTGTTATACTAAGTTAACTAAAAGTGACTTAAACTATAGCGAAACAGCTTCGGCGGAACGTACCTGCATTCAAATTAACTTTCCATCGCCTGAAAGATCACAATGATTAAATCTTATTTTACTTAACAAGATACATATTGTAACAGGTTTTCACCGTGAAATATCTATTTTACCTACAAATTTAAATTTATTTAATATTAAAATAATAGGTTTGAGATTTTCTGAAGAACCTTGTTCCATACACTAATGCATTAGTAAAAACAATATATAATAAAATAATATTTATTTTATTATTAGCAATTAGGGATGATGGTGATAGCTGTTGGATTGTCTTCATATAACATAGCTTTATTTCACTTAGTTAATCATGCCTTTTATAAAGGGCTATTATTCTTGGGTGCAGGTGCTGTAATTCACGCAGTAGCAGATAACCAAGATTTTAGGAAGTATGGTGGGTTAAGACCATTCTTACCTTTAACATATTCTGTTATGTTAATAGCTAGTCTTAGTTTAGTAGCCTTCCCTTTTATGACAGGTTTCTATAGTAAAGATTTGATATTAGAATCTGCTTATGGTCAATTTTACTTTAGTGGTACAGTAGTCTACTGTATAGCAACTATTGGTGCTATCTTCACTACCTTATACTCCGTTAAAGTTTTATATTTAACTTTCTTAACTAATCCTAACGGACCGGTGGTTAATTATAAACATGCTCATGAAGGTGATAT